GCAAATTACACAACTTATGTGACTTAAGAATGTCATTGTATGTTTTCATGAGGCAGGCATATCCCTACAAGTGTCCCAGGCTGCTGGGGAATGTGTGATTTGATCAAGTTACCATCATTTCATAGATTATCAAATTTGAGAAAGCCAGGCAAAAACATAGTGCAGGGTTCAAGTAGATCAGATATGGGCAATACTTTATGCACAATGGATATACCTCAAGAATCCATTAGAGATAACACTGAAGTGGAGACTCTGGAAGATATTCCCCAAAATAGACAAAGTATCCTCCATTTTACATATAGAACCCAAAGCATTGACTGTAATCTTTTCTGAACTGTTGGTATATCAAAAGTTGGTTTTAAGTTTGGTCACTTCTCAAGCTGAAAATGAAAAGGTCTTGAACATCTACATGTTTATAAGAATTGGTAAAACAAGTACAATGAATTCAGACTTCCATAGTTGACAATCTTTAAATGAAAATAAAATTCATATATGTATATTGAATTCAACACACTCTGAATCCATTAATATGTTTATGATGAGAGGAATCAGCCAGAAAGTAAATTCTGCTTCCATCTGTTGATACTAACAAAAGACTGTAATCTATTCAATAGAGTGTCTTCATTATGCTATACTATACTAAGTCATTGGAGTCCACATGAATGTAACATTTTAAATAAAAACAAAACAAGTAATCTGGTCACAGAATTTTAAGTATCCAGCAAGATTACATGACTATAGGAAGATGATAAGCAAGTAGAAGCAGGGACATTCAGTCAGCAGCTGCAAAGATTGAAAGAGGTACTAAAACAATGCCACCTTTCTAAGTGATGGCCAGATGAAATGAGTTCCTTGTTTGATTAAATAATAAATCTCATCTCTTGTTTGAATTCTTATTCTGTCTTTCACAATATTTTGAATAAAACAAAAGACTTCAACCAAAATGACAGAAGTTGTAATCTGTAGCGGACTGTGTCGGCGATGTTGAGTATAAGTAGATAAACACACATGAGTTAAGATTTTCCTGCTAGCCAGTCCAACTACATGAGAAAATTGGACTTTAATTAAGTCCAAAGAAGGCAAAGAAAAACAAACACAAGACCGATAAATATATGTAAACAAATATATCTATTAATAACAAGAAAGGTTACATGTTATATGGACAGTTACATGGACAGAATGTGTGTGGTGAATATTATATGTGTGTGTTGTGTTGTGGTGAGTGTTCGTACGTACGTGTATTGTTCTTAGCGTGTTCCCAGCATTTGGGAAACACTGTATCTGTGAGTGTTCACATCTGTGAGGTGGTATAAGGCCGAAGGCCTGAGGCAAAAAGAGATTTACCTCGAGGTGGCGGCCCAAAGGCCTGAGGGAAAAAGGAAGAGGCGAAGGGTCAGCGAGTATTTATAGACAGGGAAGAGAGACCCCTGGTGAAAGGGTTAAGGAGCTAAGGAGGAGCTAACTCCAACAATACCCCACCTCAGATTAAAAGTTGTAGGAAATGAAAACTTTTAATATGTAAGAAAAAGGGTTCATGAAAGTTTTGAATATTGTCCTTGTCAGCTGAAAAGAAAATGTGTCAGAAGTGTAGTTGATATGCGTGATTCGACGAAATCTGGTGTTGTCATCAGTGTGCTGTGTATTTCTCTAGTGAGTCAGTCGGGGAACATCCTGTAAAAAAACGTCGGTAGTGGTCTGCGTTTGCTATCAAAATTTGTCCTTTTTCCAATGCTTCATGTTGAATTGGCTTTGTCGTCCCGGCAACCTGTTTGCTGGCCTGGTCGTAGTTTTGTTTGAAAAACGAGGTTGTTGGTATGGTATGCGTGGATAAAATTGGCGCACAAAAGTTAATAGAAGCAGCATAGTCATGAATTTGAGATGAATTTCTACCGAGTGTCAAATGCATGTTTGAGAGAATTTGCTGGTATTGTCGATTGAACATCGTTCTCGCCAATTCTCGGTTTGTTTGTTTGAGTTGTGTCATTGCAGAAGGATATAAAGGACGGTGAGTTGCCTTTTAAGACTGCATTGGACTTCTGAAATATGTGCGGTGTGTAGCACAATGTGAGTGGATGTGTTATCGCTGTAATGAAAGCGTGGATTTGTTATCAACTGACGTCGTGTTGAATTAGATTGCCAAATGTGTGTTTGAGAAGAATCGCCAAAATTTGTTCAAGAGATTGAGAAGCTAGCTTAATTGCCAAAAATGTGCGTAATTCTGTGAGTCGAATTTGTATAGGTGATGTTGAATTGCAATGTCATGGCGAGGTTGAAAATTAAAATTTGCTCATTAGTGATTATGTAGTAAATCTTTACAGCAAATTTTATGTGAAAGATGCGTTGAAAATGCTTTCCAAAACAGTGAGTCGTCCGAAAAAAAGTTTGAAGCATGGTAAGCAAGCAGTGGCGTGAAAATGTCGCCACGTGGTGTAGGAAAAATGTATGTGCACGCTTTTTGAGTTTCAGGATGGAACAAGATGCGAATGCTATGATCAGTAGCATGTATTGAAAGACTGCGAAATTTGCAATATTAGTAGCGACAAATTACGTGCATGCAAATCCTCAATGATGTTGCATCGCATATAATGGAGCAGTGAGTTGTCCAGAGAAAATTGTACGTTCATTCCAGTGAAACTTGAGTGTTGCTTCCATGTCAGAATGCTATGCGGTAGAAAATACTGTAGAAGTTGTTTGAAAATAAAGGACAGTGAATTGCCTTTAGTGGTTTGGTTCACACTTTATCTATTTCAGTCCAGAAGAAGAGAGTGTTAGTTAGTAGAAAATGGCGTTGCGTTTTCTGTTTGGTAAGCCGTAAGCATGTCTGCCAGATGAAATTAGGTCAAACTTCGCCGAGAGAAAGAAAGGGTCAAGTAAATATAAACCAGTGGGGAAAGAGTTCTAAAGCTCGTCTCATAGTAGTAATTGTGGTTCTTTAGCGGCGATTAAGGCTTCCGTGATTTCCATGTGTTGAAACTTCTTTTTGCAGCACAGGAGAAAATTGTTTTGTAGACCTGTTGTAGTGAATTAAAATTGTGATTTTTGTACTTTCATCAGTTTAATCACAAATTTATGTTGCTGTATAAAAGTTCTTTCGTTAATAGTGTACGACATGCGTAGAGTACGAAAAGAAGTTTTTTTCGATGTTTTTCCTATCTGGCTCTCTTTTTGGGAAAGTTTGTAAATGTGAGTTTGTACATATATATCATCCTGTGTGTTTTAGCAGGAGCTGAAAGATCAATTGCATCAGGAAGTCACCATTATGTAGGAAACCGGGTCGACAATGTTGAGCATGAGTAGATGAACACACAGGAGTTAAGATTTTCCTGCTAGCCGGTCCAACTACATGAGAAAATTGGACTTTAATTAAGTCCAAAGAAAAACAAACACAAGACCGATAAATATATGTAAACAAATATATGTATTAATAACAAGAAAGGTTACAAGTTACATGGACAGAGTGTGTGTGGTGAATATTATATGTGTGTGTTGTGTTGTGGTGAGTGTTCATACATACGTGTATTGTTCTTAGCGTGTTCCCAGCATTTGGGAAACACTGTATCTGTGAATGTTCACATCTGTGAGGTGGTATAAGGCCGAAGGCCTGAGGCAAAAAGAGATTTACCTCAAGGTAGCGGCCCAAAGGCCTGAGGGAAAAAGAGGAAGAGGCAAAGGGTCAGCGAGTATTTATAGACAGGGAAGAGAGACCCCTGGTGAAAGGGTTAAGGAGCTAACTCCGTCAAATCTGACTACATTTCTACTACTAACTAAAAAGAGCATCAGTCAATGAAAATAGAATATTTTATTACAATTTGTGCTGTCAAACTTATTTTTATATATTTGGTGTTATATCAAACTAATTATATTGCAAGTACTTAATACCAATCAATACAAAAAGTCAAAGAATATATCCCACAAAATGTTAACTTAAGAACCATAAAGCTTATGTCTGAAGAAAAAATGGAATAATGAAAATAATTGATCACAGGCCTTTTGACAATGCAAGAAGTTAAAAAAACTTGTTAAATAAGACTATATAACCATATAAATCTTGAATTAAAGCAACAACACAATAAGTGTCAGCTAAAAAAATATATACTTTGTCTCAGAACTTGAGTAAACAGTTTCTTGCATATTCTAATATCCTTAAGTATTTGTTTTTGCTATATTTGATCAAATCCTTTTTGAAAATTACACAAATATTGAGAAAAAGTTGTAAGTTATTGTTAAGCTCCATGGATTTTGTTATTTTAAAATCATTTTAGTTGCGTATGTGATTTTAGGCTCTCCTCCACCCAGAAAAAATGCTTAGCATTTGCTCAGATTTCTGCTTCTTGGAGAGAGTCAAATGATGGATTTCTTCTTTAAAGTTTACTCTCTTCTCACTTCTATCAAACCTTATCTCCTTTCTATTATTCTGCTTTGTCTCTGCTTCCTTTTACCTCTCCTTATTTATCTTTCTGTTTTAAATTTTCCTCCTCTCTCTCTTATACCATCTTCTCTCTGTCTCCTTTCCCCCCACCAATCTCTCTACTACTCTTTCTTTTCCCTTTCCCCTCCCTCTCTGATAACAAATGAGGATCAGTCTTATTTCTTTTTTTTTATTGATTTTATTTCCATATACAATCATTTGTCTGTCTTACTTGACCCAGCTGTCTGTCAGTTGCTCAAGTTCCACCCAGTAAATCTTATAGGTACTGATTCAAAATATTACTGGCCACATGTCATATATTCTTTGCTCAGATGTATACTTTGTAAATATACTTAACATTTAGGCATATATTAACTTTTTTTCTCTCAACTGGATGCCTACAGTAAATATTTTCCAAGCATAGCTTAGCCTGGTATAAGGCCACAACAGTTGTGTTGGAATCTTGCGAGAATAACCTGTAATCATCATACTGCTTGTACAAGATATTTCTTCTTTTATGCACAGTCTCCAGTTATGGCTCTCCACAACTTTCTATCCTTCATAACACCAAGCAAGGGTCTTACTACCACATCACATTGAAACACTGGTTCTCATACAATCACTGAAGTTAAGCAATGTCGAGCAAGGTCAGTACCTAGATGGGTGACCGATTGGGAATAATAGGTGCTTTAATCTTGGATATGTGGGTAGTGTAATGGTTAACACTTTGGAATTGGAAATGTGAAAGCCAAGTTCCAATTCTAGTCAGGTTCTTTATATTCACTTACATGAAATTATTCCTTCCTGCAGCTAAGAGTTAATTAGTAGGACTTGTATCAATAAATCCTCATTATCTTCAAAAAATTCTTACAATCTACAAATATTTTATGGCTTTAAATAACCTGAAAATAAACCATAAAAAAACAATCAATCAACCTAAGCAAGGTTTATCCCCGTACTATTCTTTCCAGTACATGTTCTACTATCCATTGACACATTTAGGTATGTTACTCATTGTTTCCCTCTGTCTCGTGAGTGCCAAATTCTCCAGCCACTTTTCTTCATTACGTGTCCCAGGAATTTCAGCTATCTCTGGTTCTAAGTGTCCTTTTTGTTTCCATTTTCCTTAAAACTGCCTTGTTGCTCACATGCTCTGTCTGTGGTATTCTCAGCATCCTTCTGTAAAACCACATTTCTGTTGCTTTAAGTCTCCTTATTATCTGTTAGGAAATTGACCCACATTCACTATCATATAGGATGATTGATATTATATAGCAGCTCAGCATTCTTATTTATTTCTAATGAAATTTTCCTGTTTCTTAATACTTTGTTTAGCTTTTAGATGGCATCTTTCACTCTTCCAATGTACCTTCAGATATCTATGTCACATTTTCCATAGTCTGTTATAACCCTTCCCAACATTTCTATACTTGCTTGATTTTGACATCTCCAATGTGTAGCTTACATCTTGTTCTCTTGCTAATGACCATGCATTCTGTCTTCTTGTAACTGATGGCTAGTCTTTTCTTCTAGCTTTCCTTTACTATGTTGTCTAGAAGTATCTGCAGTTTTCTTTTTGTGTTTGCCATTAGCATGATATAATATAGTTTAATGCCATAATAGTGGGAAGCCCAACATGAATTGAACAAAGAAAGGCTTGCAAAACTAATCTACTTGCAATCATATTAAATTTTTATATGTATCCCTTTTTATGATTATCAATGGTTGTTAGTCTATACAACTTATAAATCTTTGTGTAATTATTTCTTATTATTTCTGTGAATCCCTATCTTCTAGTGGTGTGCATTAGACATTTATAGAAATTAGAAAAAGATGTTTCCTTTTTAAAGATTTGCAATTGGGAAAACCTCCCAGAAAAGTGGGTTATACAAGAAAAATCAGATGTTATAAAAGATTACTGAAATAAAACCAAATTGAATCTTGCTCTTGTTTCTTTCAGGATGATGGATCCCAGCCTCAAAGTACGAGTAAGTAAATCTTTTTTTTCGTTTTTCTCTCTTGCTTTTTTATTACTGATAATATTATAATAGACAGTTTTAATATGACTTTACCTATTGTGTGTAACTAGTTAATTTTAATTTATAATATCATAGAAGGGATTTATTAAATAAATACATCAAAACTTTCACTTACTATTCTATGCATTTAGTGATATGTGAAATAAAAGAAGCATATATGAAGCAAGTAAGTCATTGTTGGATTTTTTATATTGTATTCAATATATGAGCAGATAGTGAATATAATCTGAATATGAAATCTGCTAGAAAACTTATAACAAAATATTAACTTTAGAGATATGTCTAGAGGATAGAAAGAGTATATTTTAACATTTCTCATTAAAAAAACTTATAATGACATGAAAAAAAAGATGCTAAACTTGATGAAAACAAAATTTTATCGTCTAAATGTTTATTATTAAGACGAAAGATCAAAGTATTTTGGGGGTATTTTTTTACATCTTTTAATCATTCCTAGCATGTCTAAAAGTTTTGTTAAAAAAATTTTTTTTTTTTTGAGTCAGCAAAATTGACAGATAATCAATCATGTCAACCATTTTTTCCATTTTATAAAAAAAAAATTAAAATCTCAGTTTCAAATTCTTTTAAAAATCAATTATAATTTTTTCAAAACTTATTTTAAGAACATTAGAAATTATAATCTTTACCTAAAATATTTTGAAACAAGCATTCTCCACTGAAAAGTAGTTTAAAAATAAACAAAGCAGGTCATAACATTTTGCGTCACTTAACAAGTGATGATTGATGATTTCATCACGTATTGACAGCTTACATGAGGAAAAGTTATCATACAGGAGGATAGAAGTGATATAATTATTTAGATTTAAGTGAACAAATTATTTACCTCATTATTTTTAAGGAAAACTTTCAGCACTCTAATTTTTTTTGGTACTTAGCTTTTACCTTTACGTTTATGATGCTTTATGGAAAATATATTATAAAAAAATTAAAATAGGACTGTTGAGAGTGAGATTAAATTTCATAAGAAAAAAGGTATCTAATTAATTTATAAGTACCTTTCTTATGACATTTTATCAGAAGTGTATATAAAATACTATAATTTTATGCAAAATTATTACATTTTACTGTGTTATTTGTATTTCCATTCATTTTATTATTAATTTTGATATTTCATTTATGGAAAAATGTCATAACTGAGATTAATATAAAAATAAGATCATATAAATTTCATAAGATGATACAGATAATTGTAGGTACCCTTCTCAGTTGAAATTGAAAACTCAAATTAACTTCTCCACACATGTTTTGCAAAAATAAAGGCCATAACAGCGGAGAACAATGCTTAACTCAAATAACACGACTTAATTTTATTCTTGTTGGTCTTCCGTACTTTATAATTACAGCCCGATTATAAACACAAAATTACATTTCTTAATTACTGTGGGTCTTCTGATTAGTCAAAATGATACAATTTACAATGTGCTAAAAAAAAGATATATCTTCATAAGGACATTTAAAAAACTGAATGCGGCTTTTAACTAATTTTATAATATTTTAACAACTTAAATGTAAAAAATCTAAAATAATTAAAGAAATAACAAATAATTGTATTAAAAATTCATTTTTCATCAAAAAAAATTTTTTGCTTTCAGAAAATATTGTCCATATTCATAAAAAACAACTAAAAGCAAATAAAAGCATTTGAAATTAAATAATATCTTTGTTTTATTGAGTTTTTGTATGTTACAATTCAGAGCTGATTTTCAGGTGGGATCCCAATTAAAAAAAAAAAAAAAAAAAACATGATTTGCATTCCTCAAAGCCTTGTGCTTTTAACTAATATAATCACTAAACTGAACAATGACTGAATTTCTAGAGTTTTTTCATAAAATTAGTTTTGGGTAATAAATATAAAAAAAAATTTTGCCATGACTTTTAAAAAAAAAAAAACTAATTTCCATCATTTGTGAATAGTTTCTGAAAGTTTCATTAACATCCAACAATTATTTATATTTTTGCAATATTTTCCAAATTAATGTGTGTCATAAAAAAAAAGTGCTAAAAATTGTATATGTTATTTTTACTAGTTCTGGTGATACAAAGAAAGAAAGGTTTTTTTAATCAAAATTTAGAATGTTCTAAAAAGAAGGAAAAATTTTAAAAAATAAATAAAAAAAAAAACTTTGGTCTTTCCTCTTAATAATAGTAGAAACATTTAGATGTTAAAATTTTGTTTTCATCAAGTTTGACATTTTTTTTATCATACTATGCTCTTTTTTTAACAATCTCAATGGATTAAATTTACCTAATGTAAACAATAAGATGAAAAACAGTTTTTTTAAAATTCCTTTTTTCTAATAAACTTTATCTGAAAAATTCCTATATTATTAAAAAACATTTTTTTTCATTTTTTTTCATTTCATTTTTTTATTAAAACATTTAAATTTAGATTATTTTTTTCATATTTTTTGTTTGTTTATTTAAAATATCATCTGAAATAAAAAAATAAAATAATTAAAAATCTAATTTTTTTCACAAAACATTAGTAATTTCATTTACAAAAATTGATATTAAAATTGGAAAAAAAAAAATTAAAAAAATATATTGCTGGTGTTTTTTACTATAAAAATATTTTTTTTTATTTTCATTTTTTTTTTTTGCCATTTCAGTTTTGGGGTTAATTATTTGAAATAGATGGGACCTATTGAAAAACAGGATATTTTAAAATCCAGGTTTAATTAAGAAATTTTTGAAAAATTATTAAACAAGTTTTTCTCAAAAATTTAAAAAAAAAAAATTGCCAGATGTTTTTGAAAATCAAAAATTTCAGGATGGAAAAAATTTAAAAGCCAAAATGATTTTTTTTTGCAACTTTTGAATTCATTTCAATTTAATCCAAAAAAGAAAACTTTTTATATTTTTATTTTTTTTTTAAAAATTTAAAATTTTTTTATAAAATTTATAAATAATCATATTAAATCATTTTTTTTTTTTTAAATATTATAAAGTAAAAATTTTTCAACTTTTTAGCGGAACCCAAGAAATAGAGTAAATTTTTAAAAGATATCATGTCTTTTATGTGGCTGGCTAATCCAATTTATTGCAGACACCAAAAAAAAACACAGAAACACTTTCAAAATTTTATGCTGCATTTATACTGAATTTTTCAGATTTACCTACAATTGAATATTTTTTTTCAATACAATCTAAATTTGTTTTGATCATAATACTTTTTACTTCATTTTTTACAATCATTGACATGATGAAAACTGTTTTGTTTAAAAACTGAACACAATTTAATAAAACTTATGATATAAAAATGGTTTATTTAAAATCTAAAACAATAAATTTTTTTGGAGACATTAAAAAATTTCTTGGCAAATATGTAATTTTAATTTGAAAGATTCAGCCATTTTTGATTTATTTGTTTGGAAATTTTGGGAATTTTATTGGTTTTATATTTTATCATCAACAAAAATTATAAAAATATTGGAAAAGAAAGCATTTTTAAAAAATAAAATGATATCAAATAGTCATAAAATAAAATATATTTTAAGAAAAATTAATGAGTTCAATTAATCAAAATAAAAATAATGATTAAAAATCACTATAAAAAGGAAAATTAATTTTAAAATCAATTCATTGTATTTAAAATTTTATATGATTTTGACATAATGAATGAAGATTTAAAAATTTTTTTCAAAAAATTGCAAAAAATATGTAATGGCAAGAGATAGGATAATCAGGTTTTTCCATATAAAATGGGTATGGGATATTGTAAAATTATTAAAATAATTATAAAATTTAAATTTTTTAAAATAAATTTTTTTTAAAAAACAATGAAAGTTGCCTGCTTGTTATTTAATTTCCTGTTTCATAAAGTTTTTATCTTACCCAAAAATTTTTTTTTTTTTTTTCATAGGAGAAAGGGTTTATATTTTTGATTATTTGAATATAAATAAATAAAAAAAAAAATCTTAAAAATTTATACAAACTTCAAAGAATTCCATTTTGAATTTTGATAGTCTTTCATTGTTGAAAAAATGTCATCTGTTTAGAAAAAAAATTCATTACTTAAAAAAAATGTTTTGAAAATTTTCAAAAAATGTAAAATGTAACATTTATAAAAGAAAATCGATTAGAGAATTTTTAGATATTTTTTGGTTTATATTTTTGAATATTCAATTAATCAAACAAATCATGATATTTTCAGACATTTAATGACATTTGTATTTGTCATAAACAGACTCAGCATTTATCAAAATGAATATAATTTTTTGAAAATAATCAAAATATTAATGTTTTGAAATTTAAAATATTTTAAATTATAGTATTCATTATTATTTTCAAATATTTTTATAAAAATTACTTTTTATTATTTTGCATATAAAAAATTATGGATATTATTAAAAATAGGAAATGAAATTTTCTTAAAGTTTAATAAAATTTCATATTTTTTCATTAAAATATTTTTTAAAAAAAATATTGTTGAAATTTATAAATTTTTCTGGACTCCTTCAAATAAAAAAAACTGAATATTAGGTAAAAAACTGGATGCTTTAAACAAAAATTATTTATTTTATAGTTTGGAGAACAATTATGAATCCAAAATGAATAATTTAGTTTTGATCATTTGTTTAGCATTTGTTTTATATAAACCTACTTTTAACAAATCAATAAAAATTTACTGTTTATAAAAACAAAAAAATTAACATAAAACATATTATGTTGAATCATTAATGATTTTTTCAAAAAAATATATTAATATAAAAAAAAACAGATATTCAATAGAATATTGAAAATATTTTTTTTAAAAAAAAAATATGTAAATATTTCTTTAGAAAACATTTTTTTATTAAATAAAATTGTCCTTCAAATGAATAGGAAACCCACATGAAATAAAAAAAAAAATTGGTTTAAATTTTTGTTGACCAAATGATGAAAGTCATAAAAACAAATCCTTGATATTGTAAATTTTTTGAACAATC